CACCAGCATGTCTACGTTAATCACCCCAGAACAAAAGCATCAGGAACCGGTGGTGATGGATAGAAACCCCATTCAGTTCCAGAGTGGGAAGTCAAAAGAGAGCGACAGAAGTTCCACCCATAGAAGGTTATCAGACTCAGCTGACACGCCGACTCCTCGTGCTCGAGCCTTCATTCCCGTAGATTACAGCCATTATTTAGGCATGACAGAAAACACCAGCCTTCAAACCTTCATCACCTCACCCCAGAAGAACGAAGACTCCTACAGAACATCCAGGTGTGAGTCCACCCTGAGTGGACCCCTGAAGACCAGCACCCCAGTGACCTTAGAGGATCACCACAGCCGAAGGACCAACAAGGCCAACCATCACCCCGTGCGGCCGGACTACAGCAGCTCAGACACCGGCCATGATTCGTCGGTGAGCAGCGCGTCAGAAAACTGGTCCAGGCCCAGGAACAACTCAAACAGTAAGTTTGTTTGTTTTTGTTTGTTTGTTTTAACCATTTTAGGGAAGTGAACAGTAAAGGCAACAAAGTCCTAAAGATAAGGATTGATTTAGTTCACAAGCTTCTGCTGGTTCACTACTGTCTCCAGTGGCCAGTTTGTGTCACTGAGGTAAATCTGAACAAAGGATTTTAAACAGTGAAGTTGCAATTTTTTTTTTAACTTGAGGCAGCAGTGGATCTACAAACATCTTCAGTCCACAACGTATCCATCCACCATTTGTTTCCTTTTTATGAACCTTCAGTAGCACCCGCTTACCTCTGACCTCTGGTGGTAGGTGGCTGCAGCCACAGAACACAGACCTCAGACCTACAGACCTTAGTCCACGTTTCCAGGTTTATGACATCCTGTCCTCCTGTTTCCTCCTGATTGGCAGCAGTAAATCTCTGTAAACACAGCGTCGCTTTCGGTCACTGCCCCTGTTTGGTTTGTGGGCTTGGTGCGTCTCAGAGAAAAGAAACTGTTTCCAACAAACGAGAAGTCTCATGACTTGAGTTGTTTTGTTTTGTTCTCTTCTTTCACCATGTTTGGAGCTGTGGTTGTTCCAGTGTAACAACCCTTAAATCAATAATGTTTCACAGGAGAATGGAAGTCATTCACTCTTCACAGATACTTCTAAAAAATACAGTTAATATTTAAATGAGTTTACAGATCAACTATCACATTCTTAAAAATCTATTGCGTTATACAAAATAACTTTTTAACATTTTAATTAAATAATTCAATGCAGTTGACTGGCAACTATGAGCTTGTATAAGCACACATATAAGATAGTTGCAACGGTCCCATGAGTCAATAAATGTGAAGTCAGGTGAGCGTGCAGTCACGCCCTGGACATCAGAGCGTCAAATAAAGATGAACATTAATCTCCAATCTGCATGTTTTTGGAGTGTGGAGGAAACTGTAGAACATTCGCACACACACCTTTCACCTCATCACTGCAACGTGTTCTGTTGATTAGACATTAAAACTGTCTTGAAGATCTCCTCTCTACCCTTCCTCCCCCAGTTGAAAATGAGGGCGACTGCCAGAACCCTGTGAAGAGAGCGCTGAAGCGAGCAGAGGCGAGGCCTAAAACTGTGACCAAAAGTATAGATCACATCACCACACGTGAGTTTTTGTTTCAGTTTTTTTTTTTTTTACATTTCGGATTCAGATTTTTAGTCAGTGTTCCTTACCTGTTTCTCCTACAGGTGGAGACAGAGAGCAGGGAACTCAAGCTGAGCTCCGACACATCAGTGAGGGTAAGACTTCTGACTGACGGTTGTCCTTTTGGCACCTTCTCCTGTGTCTTTACCCTCGTCCTCCTTTTTTTTTTTTTTTCCAGATCTAGACCACGTGAAGAAAATGAGCCAATCAGTTCCCTCGTTTCTGCAGCAGGAGGTAAAGAATCAGTTCTGATACCAAAGAGTCATGAACTGTTGGTCATGGTCCAAAGAACCAGATCAGGCCAGAGGGGTTTCCTCCTCAGGGTGGCCGGGGTAGATCCCTCTGATCCTCCAGCTGAGCTGGTTGTGGTTTTCTGGTTCTGCTCCCTCCTCTCCCTCTTCTTGCCCCCTCTCAGTTTTTTAGCTTCATTTTCTGCAGGGTGTAGTTTCTAGTTTCAGGAGAGTTCTGTGGTCTTTGACTCATGAAACCTTCATCAAACCATCAGGTCAGACTCTGCTCTTTTTTGTGTTTTGTGTTGGTGTGTGGAGGCTGCCGAAGACTTGTGCGCCCCCTATGAGGACAGTAACCATGGAGACAGACTGACGATGGGCAGTTCAATGAGCAACATTAGCAGCTGCTCAGGCCTGGCAGCCACGTCATCGGTATCTTCACAAACACAGCACTGACACTGACATTGACACTGCATCAGTTTACATTTTGACTCCTCTGGGTCTTTGGATTGGAGATTCGTACCAATCTTTTTTAAAAACATTCATGATGCATCATTACAGCTCAACCAATCAGTGATCCAAAAATGTGATACTTATCCCTAACACTAATCTGAAGCCCCAATCTACAACACTGAACTAATCCAAATGTCTAATCATAATCTCGACTCCTTACCTCAATCCTAAATATCTAAACCTAATTTCTTATCCCAATCTCAATCTCCATTCCTAACTGGTATTCCCAATCTCTAAATCTTTGAAAGTAAAAATGTAACACAAGAGATTAGGAAGATTTAAGGAGTAGTTTACAGATTAGAGGTCTGATGTGTCACCTGTGGACCTGAAGTCATAATTATACAGGTGAATCTTTAACTCCTGTTAATGTAAGTGTGTCCCCCAGGGTGTCCCCCAGGGTGTCCCTACTTTAACACCACCATGCAAAGCAAATGACAGTTAAAGTCCTTTAGAGTCTTGTTGTTGCTGTTGTTTTAAATGTGTGTGTTCTGTCCACATGCTAATTCCCAGCTCAGTGGCAGTGTCTGGACCGTCTACAGTCCGGACTTTGGGAATGTGGAGGTTCAGGGGAGCATTCATTTTTCCATCAACTATGTTCAGAGGCTGCGGGAATTTCATGTCTTTGTGGCCGAGTGTCGTGACTTGGCTGCAGTCGACCCAAAGAAAAGACGCTCAGATCCGTGAGTGCACGACGTCCGACCACTGAGACTCATCCTTCTCTGCTCTAAACCCTGTCCTGGAGTTTTCTTCTCATCACTGGCTGTTAACTTTGAGTTTGTTTTGTTTTTTAGGAAAGTCGCTGTCATGGCAACAGTAACGTTGTCATCACCTCTTCAATAATTTTAGCTCTTTTTCATTTTTAGTATACAATTAGCAACTAATTTTAACATTAACAAACCTTTGGCCCTAGAATTGTTGACTGTACCTTTAGCTTAGTAAAGTTAGAATTTTCCCCTCTAGCTCCTGTAAAGTGAGCTGATCCTTTTAGCTTCAGTGATGCTAAAGAAACATTGTAGCCTTATTAGTGACTTCTTGTAGCATGGAAAATGTTAGCATTTTCTTTAGCCTCGCTCTCAAATATCACAAATATTTCTTTAGCTTCTCTTTCTAGTTAATGTGTGATAACAAAATATTTGGTAAAAAATGATCCTTTTTCATGTTCCCGTTCTTCAGGTATGTGAAAAGTTACCTGCTTCCAGACAAAGCAAATCTGGGAAAAAGGAAAACGTCTGTGAAGAAGAAAACGCTGAATCCAAAATTCAACGAGATTCTGAGAGTCAGTAGAACAAAATAAAGTGTGTTGCTCCTGTTTTTTTTTAAGTACTAGTGTGAAGGTGGAACTGTTCTCTTTGCGTCTGCAGTACCGTGTCCGTCTGGAGGAGCTGAGGACTCTGACCCTGCTCCTCTCCGTCTGGCATAACGACACCTTTGGCAGAAACAGTTTCCTGGGTGAGGTGGACGTGGATCTGTCCACGTGGGACTTTAACCACAACCAAATGAACGACTTGGTCCTCAGAGCTCGAGTGAGAATGTAACACTCTCTTCTGTTGTTTAACACAATATTAAACTTTTCTGTCTTTTCAAGATCGGGTTATTTAACATTTTATTGAGTCATGATCATTTTTGAATTTGTTATTTGTTAGTAATAGTTTACCTCGTTCAGTTCATTTCCTCTTGATCTAATTATTTCCTAATTTGACTTCACTACGTCGACCTCTTGTTACTGGCTGTTTTATTGCACTGCAGACAAAATTGATTTTGTTTTGACCTGTGTGTCTAAACCTTTTAGACCACGCCCACTCCAGCAGCAGGAGTGGCTCTGATTGGACCAGCAGAGATGAAGCTGGCTGTGAGGTTCCTGCCACAGATCAGTCACAGTGAGGGTCAGTACTCACTCTGGTATCAGTCAGTGGCTCCTTCACCCTGACTATCGTTGTTTCTAGGCTAACACTAAGCTATCTTTACCTGTAAGCACATTTTTAGCACCTCACTGCCACTTCAGTCCAACTGTTTCTTATTTTTATCATCTATTATTCCATGTTTTCTTTTTCAAGCTTTTACAAAGATTTTTGACAAAAAACCTTTTGGTAGCCTTTTTTTTATATATATAATCTTTTTTGAAGGTGTTGCTATAAATGGAGCGAACACTGGAGAACTTCACATTTGGGTGAAAGAATGCCAGAACCTCCCTCTGATCCGGACTTCCATAGACCCTTACGTCAAGTGGTACGCATAAAAAACAGATGAGAAGAAATGTCAGAAACCTCCAGCTGTCACATGAGTCACAGTTTTTAATCTTTCATTTAAAGCTTTGTTCTACCAGACACCAGCAGAAAGAGTCGTCAGAAGACCCGGGTTCTAAAGAGGACCGTGGACCCAGTCTTTAACCACACCATGGTCTATGACGGCATCAGTGAGTCAGACCTGAATGAAGCTTGTGTAGAACTCACTGTTTGGGACCGAGATGGGCTCAACAGTTCTCCGCTGGGAGGACTAAGGCTCGGAGTAGGAACAGGTAGCTACGGGGCTATCTTTTAGCTACTGTAAAACTAACTGTTATCCTTGAATTAACATTGCACTACTTTGTTTTCCTATAAGATAAAGTAGGTTTTATTTTTCCTCTGGATTTTAAGCTTTTTTCTTTGTATAATTTCAGCTTCTTTGTCATTTTAGCAAACTTTAAGATAGTGGAAAAGACTATCTTGTGCTAACCTTTAGCCTTCCCCTGAGAGTCTTTCTTTGTTGGGTTTGACCTCCAGGTAAAAGTTACGGGGCACCGGTGGACTGGATGGACTCCACTCCCTACGAAGTGGCGCTGTGGGAGCGAATGATGGCATCGCCTGATCAGTGGGTGGAGGGAGTTCTGCTGCTGCGCAGCCTGCATTCTGCAAAGACTGCCCTGAAGTAATGAGGGGTCTGAGGAGGGACTGAAGAGATAAATATTTGGAATTTCCTTTATTTCTTTGGAAAATAACCCCAAGATCATGTTTAAATTAAACTACATTCATTTAAAAAAGTATTGATCAGCTTGAAACGCATAAAACGTTCAAGTTCATGTTTCTGTCATGGCCACTGAATTGGCTACACCAGTGATAGGAAGAAATATGAACTTTTTTTTTTCCAGAATTAGCTCGATGTTGTAAGGCTAAAGCTATGCTAAAGCAATTTTGTATCTACCTTTCTAGGGCCAGCGTGTTGTAGACGTGGTGTGCAATAAAGGTGAATTCACTGCATTGCTGAGTTTTTTTCCACAACTTATAATTCACAAAACCAAGATAAGGGATTAAGCCAGGATTGTTGCTTATTAAGGCTGAACTTATTCTGAAGTTGGTTGCATGAAAGCAGTACCAAGCTAACACAGCCTAGTTACTAAGGTGATTTATTTTCTGTAATTTTCTGTTAGCATTTAGATGCTATCACTTTTTTTTGTTTGTTTATGTACTCTTTTCAATGTTTTGTAGACTTTTACTCCATTAGACAAAAACACAACAGGATAAGTGCAAATATTTGTATTTATTATATTTTAACATTCAAAGAGCAGAAATATCTATTAAACTGTGATTTACTCCATTTTATTTTTATGGCAAGGAAATATATGACTTCATTAATGTGTGAGTTGACGCAGTTCTGTTTCGTCCACATTAACCTAACTGTTTTCTAATTTAACTTTTCCTCAAATGAATCTTTTATTTAACAAACATCTTCAACAGATGAGCTCTGTTTCCACCATCAAACTACACAGACTGGCCAACGTCATACTGTGTGTTTCCTACTAGTATGTTTTTGCTAGTGTAGTACCTCAACTGGCCAGCAGGTTGGCGTGTCAATATAATGAATAAAGCTAAATGATCCGCAAACTACCGACTGCTTCCAAGCAGCTGTGGTTATAACTGTGAAAAATTAGCTTTATTTTAGCAACATTTAGCGTGTTCTGAACAAGTTTTCAACCAATGTTTCGGTGTATTTTAAGCAATTACAATTTGAAATGGAACAGGATTTAACCCACATTTGGCTTACGTAACGCTTTTCTGCATTTAATTTTAACGTGTCTAATTTTGAACAACTTTTCTGTGGTTAACTGTTTCAGCTACAGTATTTTTGTAGGGGTGGTTATATTTAACACATTATGAAATGAAGCCAAAAAACAAATAATCTGGTCAATATATGTTGATGTTTCGTTCATGTATTAAAAATCCAATAACAAACACTATATATAGTCAATGGTGTCCAGACCACATGTTACAATTTGACAACAAGTAATCATTTTCAAGTAAGATGCAGTGTTGAATGAAAATGAGTGAACAAGAACTGACTCCTGGACAAATCTGAACAATTCTACATAATTTAGATTTGGTTTTGGTTTTTTTTAACAGAATATTGAGCTTTGTCAGAGTTGTTTTAAAAAGTGACATATTTGAGAGTCTGGTGACATGTGAATCATTTCATGAACTACATCTGAGTCTACAGAGCAAAGTACTGATTGTTGTTACCGCCATGTTAATCACCCGCTTCCTACTGACCAATAAGCTGCAGGCTGAGAAGATGCTGAGAAGACAACGCCCTCTGCAGCCAGAACATTCTACCAGCGTGAGATGAATAAATCCTGAAGAGCTAGACTTAAAGGAGAACTGGCACGGTTCTGTGCCCCGGCTCATTGGTGCCTGTTCCTGTATTAGTGCCTTCTTCTGATGTAAAACCCAAAGTACACAGCCATGGCCACCAGCAGGATGGACAGGACCACAAGGCAGATAATAACAGCCACCACTGGGCTGCTGTAGTGGTTACTGGCCTCAGGTGATGCAGCTGCAGAAGCAGAAATGGAACCAATCACTGGAAATAAGGAGGAATTTCTCAGCGGGATTTAAAACCATGTATGTCTCTTACCTTGAGCAGAGAAAGTACTTGGAGTACGCTCTGTAAGAAAACACACACACACACAGTCAGTGTCTCAGAAGAGCTAGCCACTGTCAGTCTTAGTCTTTCTGTTTTTACATCAGTTCACAACATTTCTGAAAATGTGAGCACATTCATGTCTGGCCTTTCTGTCAGTTTTTGTCGTCTAGATTTTTGGAAAATACTTCTTACCATCCTTTTTCACGCGTATTTGATCTGAGCTGACGGTGCCGTTGGGCAGGAGTTTGTTATCAGTGTCTCTCCTTCTCCTACGCTCCACGGTGCAGGGCTGTGAATAATAGGTCAGGG